CTCGCCGCGTCCCGCGTGGCCCTCCGCACTGCGCACCCGCAGCCCCGCGCGGCCGCCCGAACAGCCTGCAGCGACAGCGCGACGGACTGGGGCTAGGAACAGACCTGTGGAAACCGCCATCTTCTCCTGCTACCAGACGCAGCCGCCGCACGCAGGACGTCACGCGTCACTTCCGTCAGCGCTCCGCTCTGCGTCACAGAGGACCCCGCAATGGGGACGCTCCTGGGTTCCTGTGTACCCAGGCGAAATTTGCTTTAGCTGATCGCTGGGACGCTTGATTCTACAGTAAACGCTGAAGAATAACCTCGGGAGGGGTTAGGAGACGAAGACAACCTTTCAAAAGAACTTAAAAAGCCTTTTAAAAGTCTGTGAGTTCCAATACTGTCTCTTAGTTGTTCAAGGGGGACTCCTCCAACGAGTCTTTGTATTAAATATTGAAATAATGTCTAGACAAGCGGTAGTAGTTACATCACACCAAGCGTTTTATTAAGAACCAACATAAAATACGAGTATTGACAACTGTGTTGAAAACAATATTCCAAAGAGTCGGAGTCACGCTAGTGCAGGCCTGCGTGTTACACTTGGGCTGTAGTGTTTGTTGCTCTGATGACATCATAACCAAAAGCAACTTAAGGAGCAACTTACGAATTTTAGTTTATACGTTATAGTCATCAGTAAGGGAAGCCGGGGCAGAAACTCAAGGCAAGAGCTTAAAGCAGAAAGAGGTGAGGGAAACACTGCTTACCAGCTTCCTTCCAAGCTTATGTTCACCTACCTCATTTATAGGCTCAGGCCCACTTAACCTAAGGATGGTACTACCTATATCGAGCTGGGTCCTCCTACATCAACTAGCAATTAAGGAAATGCCCTACAGATTTGCCCACAGGCCCATCTGAATTAGGCAATTTTCAAACAGAGATTACATCTTCCCATTTGTGTTAATTTGACAATCAACATTAGTCAACAGGAGTTCACTCCTTGACAACTTGACCAACCCATCACAGTTAAACCATAACTTTCATTGCTTATCTGTCCTCCAAGATGCCATATATCATAATATAAAACACAGTACAACTTTAAAAGTCTTTAAAAATTCCATACTCTTAAAAGTCTCTTTACAATATCCAAAGTCAGGTACAATAGACACCCCACACAGGCAAATAATATAGCTACTCATAATGCTAGTGGTTACCTTTGACAGCCTGACAGTAAACCCTATTGCTGAACATATCACTTGTTTATATAATTAAACATGGAAAAATCCAGTTGGTGCTCAACTAGATGTTTCATGTCTATTAACTAGAATTCACAGTGGTATAAGGTACTAGAAAGGCTACCAGAAAATAAAAGTAACAATCTCACTCAATTATGAACCCTGCAACTTACAATAATGATCTGCCTGCAATATATACCTACTGCGGTAATACTGACAAAAATGTTATAGTAGTAACCAACCATCTTTTCCTTAATTGAAAAATTTTTGTCAGGCAGGCAGCAGTGACACATGCCATTAATCCCAGCACTCAGGAGGCAGAGGCAGGTGGATCTCTGTGGGTTCGAAGCCAGCCTGGTCTACAGAAGGAGTTCCAGGACAGGCAGAGCTACACAGAGAAACCCAGTCTCAAAAAACAAACAAACAAACAAACAAGCCGGGGGCAGGGCAAGACTTTAATCACATCCCTTGGAAGACAGAGACCAGTCTAGTTTACATAGTGAGTTCCTGGACAGCCAAGGCTGTACAGAGAAACCTTGTCTCAGAAAACAAAGCAACAAACCAAAAAAATCAAACAAATACAAACGAACAAACAAAATAAGAAACACACACACAAAAATACCCCACAAAAACAGAAGCTAAAATATACAAGCAAAAACTCAATAAAACAGAAAAAAATCCCAAACAAAGCAATATGAGACAAAAACTCTACAAAAGCACCTTTTGTTGCCATGCTACTTCTAGGCATGGGGTTTAACCTGAAGTGTGGTTAATATGCCCATTGAGACTCCACTGGTAAGAAAAAAAATAGGTTTTTAAGAGCAGGTATCCATTACAGGTAGCTTCTTGGTTAAGGGTAGGAACCCATGTCACTTTCCCCTCTCAGAGCTTGGATCTGTCCAAGCCATGGGTGTGTTACCACAGTCTCTGTGAGTTCATATGTGCATCAGTCCTGAGTGGTGCGGTGGTGTGAATGGAAGAGATTGTATCCTTGAAATCATCCATCAACCTTGGTTGATGCAATCGCTCTGCATCTTATACATATGTGCTTTTCCTCTTATACATAAATCCCTGAGCCCCAAGGGAAAAGACAAAAACAGGTGGTGGTACTTTTTCAAAAGGACACAGATAATCCTTACTAAATAGGTAGACTTAAACATAGGGAACTTCAAAGAATTTGTATTGATTTTTATAGCAAGTTAATTAATAGTTAATTAATTATTATGTTGCAGAGATAGAATTTATAAGAAAAGCCGTGTACACATTTCACATTTTTCTTATTGTCAGTACCAGGAAATCAATAATACACTAAGCCAGAATAGTGAAGAGGAAAGAATGATATATGTTTAATATCAGAGTTTAAATTTTTATTATTTTTATATTGCCAGTTACTGGTAAAGTACCTAGCTTAAAAATAACTTATTATGTTAATTGTTGAAGATCTATATGAATACATCATTCCAATGAATGAACAAATGATTAATATAAGTAGCAAACTAAGCTTGACCGACCATCAGTCAGTCTTGTTCTCAAACTGCAAATATATTGTCAGAGAATAACTCAACGCATTCTTGGTCATTCTGGTTTACTTGCACATAAGGGAAACAAATCAACAGATTGATTTTATGGATCAAAGGTAAAATAAGATTTATCTAAGAGATTTATCTAAGAGAGATGAAAATGTTTAAAAATATGGACACTTCACAAATTTGTGTGTCATCCTTGCTTGGGGGCCATGCTAATCTCTCTCTGTCATTCCAATTTAGTATATGTGCTGCTGACCTGAGCACAAGATACTAGTTGGAAGCTAGACAAATATCTCCAAGTCAATTACTGTTGACCTTGTTATACCTTAAGAATTTATAAACCTTATTTACCTAATATACCTTATTTATCAAATAAATATATAAACATACTTGATTATATATTTATTAAACATATATTGTTTTTATTTAAAATTTTCTGGAAGCCTGGTGCTGAGCAGTAAGCAAAGATATAAATGGTTAGACATACATTTCTAAGTTAGATTTTGTTAACCTAAGTATAGCTTTATAATCTTAAGAATTTATTTATTGTTATATAAAAGTCTGTCCTAGTCAAAGATATTTTAGAGACCTTCTGTTGTTGTCTTCTCAGTCTAAAACGTAGATACAATGATAAAATAAGAGCTTAGTAGGACTAAGAAATTTTATGAGTTTCCTTAGTTGTATTATGCTATGGGACAATGGTCTTGTACCCTGTAAAGATTTGTCTCTTGTACTTGTTTAATAAAATGCTAATTGGCCAGTAGCCAGACAGGAAGTATAGGCAGGGTGACCAGAATAGGAGAATTCTGGGAAGAGGAAAGGTTCAGTCTGCAGTCATTACCCAGTCACAGAGGAACACCTCACTGATAAAAGGTACCAAGCCATGTGGCTAAAACAGACAAGAATTTTGGGTTAATGTCAGATGTAAGAATTACTTAATAAGAAATCCTGAGCTAATAGGCCAACCAATTTATAATTAATGTAGGCCTCCATGTGATTCTTTGGGACTGAATGGCTGCGGGACTGGGTGGGACAGAAACCTCTGACAATGGAATTATACCAATGTGGTCTGCTTAAGATGCTGGTGAAGTCATAGGGCATGTACCATTTAACCTTAGTAAATATGGTTGCCAACCATGTGGCTGTTATTTAAAATCTTCATTTTTTTATAAAACTATTTTTTGAACAAGAGTTGAATCTAAGGCTCTTTCCCCCTGCATCCAGGCTTAGGAAGCTTTGCATCCAAATAGACTAGGGTCCCAAAAAGCCAGTACATGCAGAGAAACAAGTCCCAGTGCCTTTATCAATGGCTTCTCAGTCAGCCCCTATTTTCAGCCACATTCAGAGAGTTCGGTTTGATTGCATGCTCATTCAGTCCCAGTCCAGGGTTCCCTGCCCTCTCTTAAGGAGGGAGGGAGAGGGAGGAGGGTGAGTAGGGGAACAGGAGGGGAATGGGAGGAGGGTAGGAAGTGTAAATTTTTGAATGGAAAAAATAAAAAATTAAAAAAAGAGTTGAATCTAAGTTACATATACAGTATATTTTTAGAAGAGTTGAGTCATATATATATATATATATAGTATGTTATAGCAAATTAAGGTTACCTAGTATAGATTTTTTAATTCTAAGCCATTTGTTATGCTTCAAGTGAATTTTTGTTAAAGATTATATATATTGGTTTAGGCATACCTGCTGTGGGACAATGATCTATACCCTGTCACTTGTATTTTAAATAAACGCTGATTAGCCAGTAGCCAGGCAGGAAGTGTAGGTGGAAGACTAGAAGTAGAGGCAGGGCAATGAGAATTCTGGGAAGAGGGACGTTTCAGTCTGCAGTCATCACCCAGAGAGAGAGGAAGCCAGACACAGAACAATCAAGATGTGACTGCCTCGCAGAAAAAGGTACCAAGCTACTTGGCTAACACAGACAAGAATTATGGGTTAACATAAATTATAAGAGTTAATAAGAGATTCGCCTGCAATCTCCATGGAATTCTGAAACTCAGATTGCTCTGATACTGAGGGGAAGGACCTAAGAGGTGAGTGAACAGCCACATGGCCAGATGCCCTACTCTCTAGGACCTCCCCAGTGGGACAAAACCCAGGGGCCCTTCCCCAGCTCCCTCAGCTTTTATAGACAGCCAGCAGTGAGTTTCTGGTATCTAGGCTACCCCCAAACCCAAATCCATCCACTGGACCCCCCCAAGCTACTAACCACACCCCACCTAAGAGCTGAGAGCTTGCTATGATACTGAGGGGACCAAGAGCTACAATGCTACAACATTGAAGGGATTAAGAGAGAACACCAAGAGAGCAAATCAGGAGAGAATACCAAGAAAGCAGGCATATGGAGACCTCAGAGGCTTTCTGAGACAGATATTGACAGTACAGGGCAAACCAAGAAAAACTCCCAAATATGCAGACAGCCACAGCAAGGATCGAACCAAGACGCAAAGACACTGCTGGCCTCATTTGAAGGAACAGATGGGAAGGTGCCAATAAAAGAATTCTTCCAACAACCTAAAAAGCAACATGGTAACAACAGAACCCAGTGGTTACACAACAGGAAGACTTGATGAGCCTAACACAGAAGAAGTAGAAGAAAATGACTTTAAACATAACTTTATGAAAATAATGGAAACCTTTAAAGAGGAAGTGAAAAACTCCCTTAAGGGGATAGAGGAGAAGACAAACAGAAAGCTGGAAGAAATTAATAACTCCCTCAAAGACACCCAAGAAAAAACAATCAAACAGGTCAAGGAAACAGTTCAAGACTTGAAGACTGAAATAGAGGTAATAAAGAAAACACAAACTGAGGGGATTCTGGATATGGAAAATCTGGGTAAATGAGCAGGAACTACAGAGACAAGTATAACCAACAGAATACAAGAAATAGAAGAAAGAATCTGAGGCACTGAAGATACTGTAGAAGAAATAGACTCATTGATCAAAGAAAACATTAAATCCAACAAATTCTTAACACAAAACATTCAGGAAATCTGGGACACCATGAAAAAAACAAACCTAAGAATTATAGGGGTGGAAGAAGAAGAACTCCAGCTAAAAGGCACAGAAAATATATTCAGCAAAATTATAGAAGATACTTTCCCAACCTAAAGAAGGATAGCCCTATGAAGGTACAGAAAGCTTACAGAACATCAATAGACTGGATCAAAAAAATCCCCTCGCCATATAATAATCAAAACACAAAACATACAGAATAAAGAAAGAATATTAAGAGCTGCAAAGGAAAAAAAGTCAAGTAACATATAAAGGTAAACCTATCAGAATTATACCTGATGTCTCTATGGAAACCATGAAAGCCAGAAGGTCTTGGATAGATGTGCTGCAAAAACTAAGAGACCATGAATGCAAGCCCAAACTACTATACCCAGCCAAGCTTTCTTTCACCATCAATGGAGAAAACAAGGTATTCCAGGATAAAAACAAATTTAAACAATACGTAGCTACAAACCCAGCATTACAGAAAGTAATAGAAGGAAAATCACAACCCAAGGAACCCAACAACACCCACAATAACTTAGACATCTAACAACCCTCCACAAGCACAACCTAAAGAAGAGAAACACACAAACTCTACCACCAAAAAAAAATAACTGGAGTTAACTGGTCATTAATATCACTTAATATCAATGGACTCAATTCACCTATAAAAAGGCACAAGTTAAGAGAATGGATGCGAAAGCAGGATCCAACATTCTGCTGTCTACAAGAAACACACCTCAACCTCAAAGACAGACACTACCTCAGAGTAAAGGGTTAGGAAAAGGTTTTCCAAGCAAACGGACCTAAGAAACAAGTGGATGTGGCTATCCTAATATCTAACAAAATTTATTTCAAACCAAAATCAATCAGAAGAGATGGAGAAGGACACTTTAACTCATAACAGGAACAATTCATCAGGATGAAGTCTCAATCCTGAACATTTATGCTCCTAATACAAGAGCACCCATATATGTAAAGGAAACATTACTAAAACTCAAATCACACATCAAACCCCACACACTAATAGCAGGGGACTTCAACACTCGTCTCTCACCAATGGAAAGGTCAACCAGAGAGAAACTTAACAGAAAAATAAGAGAACAGATGTAATGAATCAAATGGACTTAAAAGACATCTATAGAACATCCTACCCAAACACAAAAGAATATACCTTCTCTCCACCTCATGGAACCTTCTATAAAATTGATCACATACTCGGTAACAAAGCAAACCTCCACAGAAACAAAAAAATTGGAGTAACCCACTATGTCTTACCGGATCATCAGGGATTAAAGTTAGAATTTAACAACAAAACTAGTCTCAGAAAGCCTACAAACTCATGGAAATTGCACAGTCAATTATTGAACCACCTCTGGGTCAAGGAAGAAATAAAGAAATTAAAGTCTTTTAAAAATTCTTAAATGAAGAGAATTATTAGTGAGAAAAGATTGTCCAAATAACATCTTATGTGAACTCTCAAGGTCAGTAGAAGTTCTGGTCCCTGGGTGTCATTGGGAGGAGACCTTGACATTTCTAATCTTTATTTTGACAGTCCATCCATGTGAGAATGAGTCAAAGGTCTTGCTTGGTCATGCTTTACTTGATGAAGTATAGAAAAAAATTTTTTCTTTTATATTGGTTCTCCTCTTTGTATACTGGAACACTAGGTAGAATTTACCACTTGGGATCTCCATGGACTCCCTGAATAAGAGAACTGGAGACTCCCTATAGCTCTAGGATATTTTAAGAGATACCTCATAGTCCCTTAGAACCTATTAGAACTTGGAGGGCAATGGGGAAAACATTTTTCTTCTCAGTCCCTCTGACCACATTAGTTTATACCTCCTGATATGGTTATTGAACACCCAGAAGGCAGAACAGAGTGGAGCCCCAAATGCATCTCAAGTTGTAACCTGAAAATAAAACACTAGGCTTTTTTTATTTATATAGGAAGCAAGGAAACCTCAATGAATAAATATTAAGTTCTAGACAAGCTGCTACCAGAGTACACCTGCTGAAGGAGGCTATACTGGGTCTCTGTGCCTGCCATTTTGGCTTGTATCTCCAGACTCATTTTCCTGTAACTGAGACAGAATGTCCTCAAGGTAAAAACCTTCTTTGCTCCACACTGGTCTGCTTTTGTTTCTGCCCCATGGCACCTTGGGTACCCATGCTGTTGCTTTGCCTTTCAGTTACAACAGAGAGATAGAGAATAGAGATAGAGACAGACAGACAGAGAAAAAGAGCAACACACTGGCAT